ATAGTGTTACAGTTTCTCTTATCCATGGTGTTGCTTTCCATAGTTTCAGTTACCTGGAGTCAGCCACAGTTCAAATATAAAGCAGAAAATTCCAGAAATAAACAACTCATAATTTTTGATTGCATACTGTGCAGCTGTTCTGAGTACTGTGATGAAATCTCACACCATGCCACTTGGTCCCCTTGTGAATCATCCTTTGTCCAGTGTATTCACACTGTGTGCTACCTGTCCACTAGTCACTCAGTAGTCATCTTTATTATGAAAGGGAGAGATAGAGATCACATTCACATAACATTCTATTACATTATACTGTTATAATTATTTTATGTCATTATAAGTTATTGTTAATCTCTTACTGTGCTAATTTACAAATTAAAATTTATTATAAGTATGTATGTAAGTATAGAAAAAAGCATAGTATATATAGGGTTCATTACTATCCAGGATTTCAGGCACCGACTATGTGTCTTGGAATGTATTCCCTGTGGTTAAGGTGAGATTATTATATATCAATTCTCTTTCTCTCATGTCTCATATACAGCCAGTAAATTCTATTGTGGATCTATATTCTCTATGATAGCAGCTGCCTTACCTACATCCTTTACTATTTCTAGCAAATACAGGTGAGTAAGATGCTTTAGAGAGAACTCATAGAAGTTGTTTTTTGCTTGCTGTAGTTTTTCCATCATCAGCTGAGAATAAGGATGAGGGGGGAGATTTTAGATAAAAAAAAAACCTGCAAAATTGTTTTCTAGAAGAATGGGAGACTGATTGAACAAAAGAAATGTAGTATAATTGCCAAGAAGCATTGAAGTCTCCTTTAACTGAAAGCAAGGCTAGTCAGCACAGCTGTGTGTTTTCTCCATCTATGTCAAGTGACATATGTGTAAGTAGGGAAGAGAACATTTTTCAAGCTAGTATGATAAAGTAAGAGATTAGCAAGTGCACTAAATGCATATGCAAGAGTGACATTAATGAATAATAAAATTCAAGTGGAAAAATACAAGCATGGATGGGTTATTGAAGATTTGGTAGGATTAATATAAGCTTCTGTGACCAAATAATGGTCACAATTGAATTGAAATCGATGCATTTCAGGGAGTAGATTGATAAGAGGTGAATATCAGGGAGTGGAACACTTGAAATGGAGATTATGGAGGCCTGGAAATTATTATTAAAGACAAATCTATGGTGTGATCATAAGAATAAATGCCTGAGCTCAAGGTGGAGGACAAGACATTTGAAAAGAGGGTATTCCATGGATCATTTTATGTGCATACTAAAATTAGCAAGAATCAAAACAAGAAAAGTTCTAATGAAAGAATGAATGAGGGGCTAATGTCTTCAGTGAATGAAGTAGAGTGACTGGGGATTTGTTTACAACCACAATAAGGCAGATAATTGGTGATATTATAGTATGAGGCCATGTTATTCAAAGTTGGGAATTTTTAGGGAGGAGGGAGGTATGATGTCTGAAAAATCAGTGGTTCAGGGGATCTGGTAGAGAAAACAACCATCATTTAAATATTAAAGGAACTATGTCCTGGAGAGAGTCAAACAGCAGTTGGTAGGGGAGGGGTAAGTAAGTGGAAGTCTAAGGAAGTGTTTGAAGATGTTACAAATGATTAATTTAACTATCTATGCTTGAAGCTAGAGAAAAATTTAGTGAATTCTCTCTTGGAGTCATCCCAAGTCCACAGTTTGGTTGAGTCCATCCCTATGGTCTGTTGTACACACCTCTCCAGCATTTAGCATATAAGAAATTGGGTGGGGTTGGGGTGCCAAGGTGGTGTTAAAACAGAGATAACTGTACTTGAACAACAATAAAAAATAGAGAAAAATAAAAAAATAAAATGTAAAAAGAAACATAAAAAAATAAGTTTCCCCCCCAAAAAAAAGAAAGAAAGAAATGATCTTTAGAAGTCCAGCCCCTCTCTGTCCAACTAAACTGTTCACTTATAAAGGGCAATGTACAATGACAGTTACCAACAAAAGATCTTGCATAGAGTAAATGTTTAACAAATATTTATTAGATTGAAGTTATTGTGCACTGTAATTATTTGTCTCTCGCCCCCAAATATTATCTCTTTGAGAATAGAGACTGTATTTTATTATCCTTACATTACTTTCCTGATTTAGTAATAGACACAAAATGAATTAGCAGGATGGATTCTTTTTTAATTTTAATTTATTTTTTTATTGTTGTTCAAGTACAGTTTTCTGCCTTTCCCCCCTACCCATCCCCACCACTACAGCCCTCCCTCCCTCTCCTGTTTCCACCCTGCCTTGTTATTGTCCATATGTCCTTTATAATTGTTCCTGTAAACCCTTCACCCTTTTCCCTCGTTATCCCCTCCCCTCTCTCCTTTGGTCACTGTGAGACTGTTCTCAATTTTAGTGTCTTTGGCTATACTTTGCTTGCTTGTTTGCTTTTTTGATTAGGTTCCTGTTAATGGTGAAATCATGTGGTATTTTTCTTTCACCACCTGGCTTATTTCACTTAGCGTAATGCTCTCCAGTTTCACCCATGCTGTGGCAAAGGATAGGAGCTCCTTCTTTCTTTCTGTTGCATAGAATTCCATTGTATAAATGTACCATAGTTTTTTGATCTATTCATTTACTGATGGGCATTTAAGTTGCTTCCAGCACTTGGCTATTGTAAACTGTGCTGCTATGAACATTGGGGTGCAAAGGTTCTTTTGGATTGGTGTTTCAGGGTTCTTAGGATATAATCCTAGCAGTGGAATTGCTGGGTCAAAAGGCAGTTCTATTTTTAGTTTTCTGAGGAAATTCCATACTGTTTTCCATAGTGGTTGCACCAGTCTGCATTCCCACCAAGAGTGTACTAGGGTTCCCTTTTTTCCACAACCTCTCCAACATTCGTTATTTGTTTTTTTGTTTGTGATGGTCATTCTGACTGGTGTGAAGTTGTATCTCATTATGGTACTTCTCTCTGCATCTCTCTGATAGCTAGCAATCCTGAGCATCTTTTCATATGTCTCTGGACTCTCTGTATGTCCTCCTTGGAGAAGTGTCTGTTCAAGTCTTTTGCCCATTTTTTAAATTGGGTTGCTTGTCTTCTTAGAGTAGAGTCATGTGAGTTCTTTATATATATATATACACTTGTCTGAAGTATCATTGGCAAATATGGTTTCCCATACAGTTGGCTTTCTTTTAATTTTAATGCTGTTTTCTTTAGCCATGCAAAAGATTTTTATTTTGATGAGATCCCATTTGTTTATATTTTCCTTTATGTCCCTTGCTCTAGGGGATGTATCAGTGAAAATATTGCTGTGTGGAATAGAATTTTTAAAAGTTTCTCCCAGTAATTCATCCCAAGCGAAATAGAATTTATTTGTCCAATGAGAGTATATTTCAGTTATTTGTTGCTGTTTAACAAGCCAAAAATTATTTGTTTAAATGTAACAGTTTATTATTTCTCATTATTCTGCCATCTATGTTGGGCTCAGCTGGACCATTTTTCTGGCTATATGTGGTGTCTGCTGGAACATCTAATATGTTTTTCACTCACATGTCTGAAGCTGGGATGGTTGGAGCTACTGGAGTCTGACCAGAACACACACACACACTCTCTCTCTCTCTCCATATTTTTACAACTATTTTTATAGCTAGCTTGGGCTCACTTACAGAATATTTGACTCCTCATGTTGTGTTGGCTTCCAAGAGAAAAAAAATAGAAGCTGAAGACCTTTTGCAAACTATATCCAGAGCTGTCACAGTGTCACAGTCTCACTTCCACTGCATTCTATTGGTTAAAGGCACAGTTAGCCTAAACTGAAGGACAGGTAGAATAGACTCTCCATCTTGGCATGAAAAGCAGAATGCACATGAAGAAGGTCCGAGTAAGTGATAGTAGCCATTATTGGAGACTATCTCCACAATGCCTTTATCAGAATTCAAATTCTATTCCAGTGATCAAATTCACTTTAGAAACACCTTCCTGAATAACTTCAAACTCAGCTTAAAGTCTGTATCATGATCTTTGAAACTTCAGAAAATAGCTCCCATACCCCAATTCACTGAAATGCAGTTCAATTCAACAGTTACAGAATATGTTTAATAAATAATTCCCTATGTTAATCTTTTCTTTCCATCCTACCCATATCTCTCCCCACCCACCTGGGTTTGCTGCCTTTATTCTTATCACTGTGCTGCTCTCACAAGACTGTGAAACTTGAGCTTCTCATGTCAGAATGTCCTTTCAGTTGTTTTCTTTGACCTCTCTTGGAATAAGACTGAAACAACACTCACATTCTCTTGGAATACAGCAGATTCATGACCAGTGCAGAATTATTTTGAACTCATTTCTAGCTCTAATTTCTAATTCCCCCTTCTAGCCATACTTCCTCACCTCAGATAAATACTAATTTTGCTTTTAATCCAAAGTGAACTTAGTCTTCATTTGCATTTTATGTTATCTTGTAGTTATGTATAGAAATAGCCCTGGAACTTTGATGTGCTCAAATAAAACAGTGTTATCTTTATTAGAATCTTAGAGTCTGGAGGGATTGTGTTATCTAGGCTTAATCAATATGCTTTCTAGATAAAGCTTTTTCTGACCAATATGGTCTCAGACTATTGTGAGGTCTTTATTAAACAATTTTAGTTCTATCAAATAACAGTGGTGTCCTTAATTCCATGTTATATTTCAAAGCTCTCCTTTAAAACATAGGTACAAAAAAACCTTGGTGAGTTTAGATTGTTTCCCTCTCTGTAGCAATAAATTCTCACTTCATTTAAATGGTGTTAGCAAGATACTTTTTTTGTTCAGAATTAGAAAGTTAATCACAAGAAAAGCTTAAGCTATATCTTCAAGGTTACACTTTTGGGGGCTAGGTGTTCAAGACAAAAAAACAAACAAACAACAACCCACAGTTGAGAAATTGAGTGCTAACAGTCTTTACAGGAAATCCCTGTAAAGGAAATAGGCTTACTCACTTTTCAACTAAACCTAACCACAAGCCTTATGTAGTGGAGGAGGTTGCCAAAGAGTCTTAGACATTTCATCCTCGGGGCATTTCTTTCTACTGATACAGGTAGTTATTTGATTTTTCTCTGTATTATAATGGATTTGACAATGTCAGTGGTTACTTGCAAAATACTGAAGTTTTTTATCTCCAATTGTAAATCATTATTTCCAAACTTGTAAAAATTAAATTGCTGTTGTCTTCTCTGGTTATCTCTCTGGCTAGGAAGAGATACAGTAGAACTATTTGAAATTGGATATTCTCACATGTTCTTCAGGTAGAAAAGCCAGCAGTCACGGAAATGACCTGAAGTTTTTTCCTTGTTTTTATGCCTTAAGAACAGGAAATAAAGGTAAGACGGTAAAAAAAGGTACCTTTTTTTTTTACTATATTTCCTAATCAGAAAATGTGAGTGGAGAAAAGAGTTTAAATAATTTTCAAAATGAATTGCTAACACAATTCTTTTTCATAAAATATATTGTAATGATAAATTTACTATCTAACAATCAAAATTTACATTTCTATGTATCTGGAGTCTTCAGTTTACAAAAAATGGTGGTTATAAAAGAAACATATTTATAGTGCTTTGAGCATTTTGTGGAAAATGTGAGGAGTAGAGGAACTCAAGATATTTGCCAAACTTGACACCTGCCTTCTTCAGCATTTTCTTCTCTCTACCCTTTTCCTACTCAAAGCTTTGGTCAGTGAAATTTTTAGTTCATTATCAACCAAAGATAATTGAAGTTGTAGCCTTGACCAATTGAGGGGGCTAATCCACAACTTCTGACAAAGGAAATAAAGCTCTCTAAAAGAACTATAAAAATGTTTTGAAGAAAACATGCTTTAGACATTTGAAGTCACCTGATGGGTTCTCATTTTTTGTGAGGTGACAGCATGTGGTAATAATGCGAGAATCAAGTCTTTGATATATTCTACATGTGTACATAAATTTCTCTTCCGATACTCATCCATTGATAGTGGCAGCCACTATTTCAAGCAATTTCAGTTTTGGTTGTCTATCAGTAAGAGGACAATAGTTATCTTCCAGACCATGACCAAAGACTAATAAGAGAGTAGGAGTCTGCTAAGATGAAGTAATATCAAATGAGTAATATGAAAGATGTATATTACAGTAGTAGTCAGGAGGGAGGGATGAGATTCATTATGCAGGTGGTCAGGGAAGGTGTCTTTGGGGAAGAAATCCAGATAATGCATCAGAGAGGCAAATCAGAACATGCAGGATTTTACACATGGTGCTTGGAAATTGATTCTTTATCTCATTTGCAGTGGGGCTGGTGAAATTATTAGCATAAAAATAACATCCTCAGGGGTCATTTTTGCTTTTTAGAAAGATGCCTCTAGAGGCTGGAGATGGGTAGATATTTGTTCAGGAGTTTTGTGGACAAAGGAAAGGAAGATGAGGAAGGCAGACCACATCTTGAAAGGCAGTTGCTTTATTCTTGCCCCTTTCCTCGACCATAGTTATTATAAGAAAGAACCACTAACAGGAATAAATAATGCAGTAACTCTGGTCCCTGTGCCTGGCACTCTTTAAGGCCCTCCACCATCTCATGAAGCTGCTTCTGTACTGAGCATTTCCTGCTTTCAGAAGGTAAGCAGCCAGTGGAAACATCTTGTATTTCTGGCTCCCACCTGAACAAATTGGGTTGGATAGACCTACCCATGTTACATGGCTCTGCCCTTCTCCTCTCCAAGATAATGTCTCTGTGGTTTTCAGGGTTGTATTTTTTCCTGCCTCCTCAGGGAAGTCAGTCCATGAACCCTCTTACTCTCACTTGTAGCTGACCTGCTACCCTGCCCACTCATTCCACTCACAATGGAATCATGTCAAAACTCTCCCTTTGTCAACAAAGGGGCAAAGAGCACCCTGTCTTCCCTGAAGAGTGTAGCTTGTGGAAGATGTAGCTTGTCTCAACTTCTCACATTCCTTCCCCTACTGTCTCATCACAGCATAGCTCTCTATCATCTCACACACCCTGTGCATGCTCATCTGACCCACTGACAGCCAAATCTAATGGACTCTTTCAGTTTTTGTGTCCAATTCCTCCATAGCTTCTGACATCAACATCTAGTCTCTCCTTCCCACTTTCTCTGTGCTTAGTGCTTCCTGTATTCTGTTTTATTTCTTTCTTTTGGGTATATTCTTTTTAATTTTTTCTTGCTCCTGACTCACCCTTGCAAACTGGTGTTCCTCAGGGAAGGCTGTCTGCTTTTTCCTGGCAGTGGACAGACTTCTCTGGCTTGAACCCCCTTGTCTCTTATTCTGAGAACCCCCAGATTCCTTCCAGAGTTCCACCTGGCTGCCCTTGGAATTTTCCAATTGGATTCCCAAAGATACCTCCAGCTCAGTGTTTCTGCTAGAGAAACATGAATTATTGTTAGCTAATTTCTAAATGTTAAAGTTATTCCTTTCTTCTGCATCTGAAGATGTTGGAGACATGGGGTGTGTGTGTGTGTGTGTGTGTGTGTGTGTGTGTGTGTGTGTGTGTGAGAAACTGGTTGAAAGTGAAGAATTTTGTAAGATAATGAAAGCCAAGTGTTTCTTTGTAAGACAAAGAGGAGACACCTGGAAAGAAAGGTCCTGGGAAAGTCTTGAATGGAGGGAGTGGTTGAAGAAACAACCAGTGAGGAAGGAGTGAAGAGAAGGATTTGCATAGCTGGTTAGATGTCGATAGTGGGAGATATTGACTTTTTGTTATCTCCATAAAAATCAGCTCTGGCTGATGTGGCTAGGTAGAGTGAATGCTGGCCTGTGAACCAAAAGGTTGCCAGTTTGATTCCCAATCAGGGCACATGCCTGGGTTGTGGGCCAGGACCCCAGCTGGGGGCATGCAAGAGGCAACCAATCAATATATCTTTCACACATCAATGTTTCCTTCCCTCTCTTTCTCCCTCTTTTTCTTTTTCTCTAAAAATAAATAAATGAAATGAAAAAAATCATTTTAAAATAAAAAAAATGTATGGGGAGAATATTTTTAAAGGGGACTTTTTCAGAGTGGCCGTACAATATTTAATATAACTCCTTCCTTCCTTCCTTCCTTCCTTCCTTCCTTCCTTCCTTCCTTCCTTCCTTCCTTCCTTCCTTCCTTCCTTCCCTTTTTTCTTCCTTTTTTATTTTTTCTTTTCTGTTATCACTGCATTTGTTTCTTTATTTCATTTTCCCAGAATTGCTTATTTGCATGTTCATGTTGACAAAGACATTCTCCTTGACCAAATTTTAGTCAGGATCCTCTGAAGACCTCAACTGGTCCTGGACCTTTGTCCTAGTTATGTCTAAGGCTGGTCACAGCCCAGTTTTGGCAAAACGTATGTTAAGTCATCCTCCCATTCTTGATATTTGACCAAACACCTTGATACCTCTTCTCCCACCCTTGTTTCTAAGGCCTTGAAGTGCCTGCAGAAAGAATCCTTTTAGGTCAGTTTAATAAGAATTCTGCAGCCCTTGATGTCTACTCTTAGTAATTTTCCATCTCCTCATTTCTTTGCCTTGCTCTTTGGCTATTCATCTGTTCTTGTTGTATTCTGAATTGAGCTTGATGTGTCTAGTCTAGTGTAAGAGTCTTGAACAAAGTCTTTGCTGTTTCACTCAGTGTCAAAATAATTTTTTTCTTCAACATTGTTCTCCACACTGTCAGACCCTTCAACACAGGGCTTTACCATTTTTTTTTTATTTTGCTCCCCTCCCAAAATTGCCTACAACAGTATGGGAGTGTTTTAGCAGAAAACTCTAGCTAAGTTTCCTTATTTCTGCAACCTCAAGAATAACACACAGGGTATTTTTATGTCAGTAATAATAGAACTCTCAGATGCATAGGAAAAACTGTTTTATAGAAAAATTACTTTAATGTTTCTCTCAAAATAAAATTAAATAAAAATCAAATATTAACTACTGAAATGGGTTGAAAATCTGAATGTTTATGTTTCTCCCAACTTCAAATTCATATGTTGAAATCCTAATCCTCAAAGATGATCCCCTAGTGATAGTATTAGGGAGTTGTTTAGATATTAACAGTGGAGCCTTCATGAACGGGATTAGTGTTCTTATAACAGAGACTTCAGAGAGATCTCTTATGTTTTCCACCAAGTGAGGTCACCAGAAGAAGGCACTGGCTGTTAACCAGGTAGAGGGTCTTCACCAGAAGTAATCATGCTGGTGCCTTGATTTTGGACTTACCAGCCTCTAGAGCTGTGAAAAAATGAATTTCTGTTGTTCATAAACAATCTACTCTTTGGTATTCTGTTATGGCAGTCTGGATGGAATAAGACACCATCCCTCATGGCATCTCTCATCTCTTGAAATGGGTTGAAAATTCGAATGATCATCCTATGAACAAGGGAGACAAAACCACCAGGAAAACAGCTCAGGCTCTTTCTCAAAAAAATTATTTATTTTTAGAGAGAGGGGAAGGGAAGGTGAAAGAGAAGGAGAGAAACATTGATGTGAGAGTGATACATCCATGGGTTGCCTCTTGTATGTACCCTGACTAGGGACCAGACTCACAACCCAGGCCTGTGTGCTGACTAGGAATCAAATCAGACAGCTTTTGCTTTGTGGGATAATGCTCAACCAACTGAGCCACATTGGCCAGGGCTTACTCTCTCTGTTGAGGTGACCTGTCCCCCTTTTACATTTCAGAGGATTTTTAGTAATGCCATTCAGGAGCAACTTTTTCTTTCTTATTTGAGGCACAGAGAGTCAAGCATCATCTATTATTTAACAGTTTTTATAATCTATGTGCAGACTGTCTCAAACTTTATAGTATGAGCTATATCACTAGTTTCTCTAAATGTGGAGAATGTAACATTTTTGTTCAACTTGAGGGTTTTTTTTCAGGAAAACTTTCACTTAATTCTTTCTAAATTACTCTCAGAAATATATAAACAATGTGAAAATATTTTAAAAAAAGAATTGTGTGAGCAAATGGAGTCAAAAGAACACACTGCATGGTACAAAGTTCCAAGTGATACAATGAGCTTGAAATATTCTCCCTCCTTCAGATGTGTAAGAAATGACACATGCATAAACTGCTACACACCATTGAAAATAGCATACACATGTGGACATATGACAGCTCACTTGGAAAGATATGCCCTTTTAAAGCTTCCTGTATGACTTGCATTTTGATCATAAGTTCCAATTTCTCCATTTTCCATTTACAGAAATAAAGATGATTCTCAGGGCAGAGCTCTGAGTCACAATGTCCTCCACTCTGGCCACAGAATATGGTTACTGAAGGGACAGAACCCAGGGAGAATAATGTTTTATTTGGGATGGATATTTCTTTGTCTTGTCACAAGAGAGAGAATTAAAGGATTTAACATTTCAGGTAGGGGATTTCACTTTTTTGTTGTTGACACTATGAATCTCATAGTCACAGTTTAAAGTAACATAATTTGATATATCAGTAACATGACATATTGATACAGAACACTTCCATCATGCTGTTAATATGGGTGTAAGAGGAGAAATTATTGGAGTGAACAGCTTTTAGCTAATACCAAGTATTGATGGGGAACTCAGTTACCATTTGGTGGGTGTTCACTTGAAATAGCCAAAGAGGGATGAAGGGTGGGTCAGCCACCTTTACCGGGAAGTCACTATTGCCACCGGTGATGTTGATGTCCCCTGGGAGGAGTTAGAATGAGAACTTCCTTTTCCCTAAGAAATGGGAACAGTAAAGGGGAAGGACATACAACTACTCTTTGTAAAGATAAATCAGGATTTCATCTTGTAATGCATTTCAGTATTGCTTTTTGTATGTGTGTGGTTTTTAGGTTGCTCCACCAAAAAATTTCTTTGGACGTATTCTGCAAAGAGTGAGGAGGAATTTGTCTTATTTTGTGACTTGCCAGACCCACAGAAATCCTACTTCTACCACAGAAGTTCACTCACAACAACCCAAGGCCCTGAACACCTGCCCTGCAGTGATAGTAAGGACTTATCTGAGGTCCAGTGGTACCTACAACCTCAAAATGGAGACACATTAAGGGAAATTACTAAAAACTATTCTCATATCATCCTGGACAATATTACCCTACGCTTTTTGACGATGGAGATCAACAATGCTGGGTCATATATTTGTAGACCCAGGATTAGGTATATCCAAAACGCATTCTTATCAAAAACACTGCTAAATCCTATATTATCTGGATATAATATCTATGTTTATGGGAACTTGTTGATTCTCCTAGGAGCCCCCAGGATGAGACCTGTTGTGTTAAGATGATCTTAGAAGTTAAGCCCAAGGCAAACATATCTTGTGTGAACTCTGTACCGCATAAACAATACCTTCTTCTTGGTAGCACTGATTCTATATATTGCCCTAGTCTTGGCTGCCAAAAGGATGCACAGAGTCCAGAGATGACCTGGTACCAGGTAAGAATGACTTTTCCAAAATTAATGCAAGATAATGGTTTTTAATGATAACATCTCTATCAGTACATAGAAGTGTGGATTTGAGTATCTCAGGGCTAGAACTTTCCAAAAGCTGGCCTTGTTTCTACAAAACCCGACTTTCTAAAAAGCTTTTCCACCTAGATAGCCACAGGACCTGATATTCCAATTATTAGAATCATTCTTTTGATGGTGCCAGAAAAATTTCTAGAAGTCTAGTATATACATGTGAAGTTAAGACACCAACCTACAACATCCACTAATGCAGAAGGACACAGTAGTTCATTTTATTACCTGTAGAAAGCAATGAGCATTGCTAAGGGGAAGAGAGCACCCACCAAGTGAGACTTGAAGGGTTTCTGAAAGAAATAAGAGAGTAGAATACCTTCCTAAGGGGACACATCTGGGAGACATTTAAGGCGAGTGCTTGATGGCTCTGAGTAACAGATGAGACAGTGAGAAGGGAGAAAGACAGAACAGGGGCCAGGAAAAGGCAAGTTTCATAACAACTTTGAGTTATAAACCACATTTGAGTAAACATAGCAAACACTTTACATTTTCATTGTGTTTTATAGTTATACCAAGTGCTAACAGATATACAAATGCTTGGTAAGTAACCCTATGTCAGCTGATCCCTGGATGATGGAATCAGGGAATAGAATTTAAATGGCTTCCTATACTTGCAACAATTTTTAAAATTGCTTCTTACAGGTGCAATGATTTTAACATTATTTTTAAGGCAAAGTCCAGTATTTTGCCTTAAAATCATGTAAAACTTTAAATTTGACTTTAAAATATATCTGTTTCCTAAAATGAAAAAATCATTTTAAATTGCCACTGATTGAAATCAAGAAGGCAGCCTCTGTTTATCTGGTGGTTTTATGCACTCCAAGACTTAACAATTAGAGGCTGATGGAGGTACAATTACTGTGGTGTGAGAAGACATTTTCTCACCTGATTTTCTTGAAACTTGGTGACAATAGGTGAACAGGTGTTACATCTATTGTATGAAAAAGTATTCATGGATGATGAGTGATGTGCTTAAAGTAGCACATTTATATTTTAAAGTGACACTGAAAATGTGCTGGCTTCAATGAAATCCTAATTTAAAAAACATTAATTTTGTAACCTCTAAAATGAGGTTAATAAGAAGAGTCAATTGTTCTACTCATTATTTTGAGTACTCTCTTAAGAATAAAACTTCCCTTGGTTCAAAAGTATTTGTGTGACAGATGTCTTAAAATTTGGATGATAGATGTCTTTCTATGTCAAGATAGGCTGCTCCGAGCTCAGGAAACCAGGTTTGCCCCAGTTATTTCAAATGAAAATGCATATCCTGGAAATGAAGGCTTATTTTTACTTTTAGGTAAGAGCAAGCCACAGAGTAGTTGCCAGCTTTCTGCATCTATTGCTCTTGTAAACTAAACCCTAAGCCTATATGACATTTACAAAAGGAAGCTTTATTTCACTTCCCTGGGTCTTTGACTGAAAAATATCATGATGTGTTTAATGGTGAACAGGTATCTGTTCTAAAAGTAGGCAAACAATAGCTATTGTTAAAATTGTACCTTCTGATGCGGATTTGGAGAGGTCAATGTTTCATGCATTGCAGGTATTCATGTGCATGTGCAGACACACATATGCACACACAGATACATGCATACCTGGAACCTCTCAGACCTCAAGTGAGCAACACTAAGAGTGATTATATTAGGCAGGGAATTGTACTCAATGCTCTTTTCTTTCATGCAAAACCCAGGTACTCAGGTGGTGGGTGACTCACACTTATGACATCTCAGAGCAGATAGCATTAACACTGGCAGAGAGGATGAAAATATGGTGTTGTTGAATGGAGGTGAAACTGCTCACCAGGAATATACCTGCCAGGTGTACAGAATATTCAATTGAAATAAATGCATAGGCTGGAATCTCTGAAAGTTTCCAAAATATTTTTAGTAGACATGTCAAAAAATTTTTAATTTGGAGATTCTTTTTATTTTATTGCTGTTCAAGTCCAGTTGTCTCCATTTTCACCCCACCAGAGTCCCCCACCCCACCCATCCCCACCCTCAAACTACCCTGATTGGCTTTATCCATGTGTCCTTTATATATGTTCTTTGAGGGACCTTCCCTATTTTCCCCCATTATCCCTCTCCCCCCTCCCCTCTGGTTGCTTTCAGTTCATTCTTTATTTCAACATTTCTGGTTACATTTTGTTTGCTTGTTTGTTTTGTTGATTAGGTTCCACTTATAGGTGAGATCATATGGTATTTGTCTTTCACCGCCTGGCTTATTTCTCTTAGCCTAATGATCTCCAGTTCCATCCATGCTGTCACAAAGGGTAGGAGTAGCTTCTTTCTTTCTGCTGTGTAGAATTCCATTGTGTAAGTGTGCCACAGTTTTTTTATCCATTCAGTTACTGATGGGCACTTAAGTTGCTTCTAGCACTTGGCTATTGTAAATTGTGCCTCTATAAACATTGGAGTGCATAGGTTCTTTTGTACTGGTGTTTCTAGGATTCTAAGTGTATAATCCCAGTAGTGGTATTGCTGTGTCAAAAGGCAGTTCCATTTTTAGTTCTGAGGAAATTCCATTCTGTTTTCCACAGTGGCTGTGCCAGTCTGCATTCCCACCAACAGTGCACTATGGTTCCCTTTCCTCCACAACCTCTCCAGCACTTGTTGTTTGTTGATATGTTTATGATGGCCATTCTGACTGGTGTGAAGTGGTATCCTCATTATGGTTTAAGTTGCATCTCTCCGATGGCTAGTGATGCTGAGTATGTTTTCATATGTATCTGGGTCCTCTGTATGCCCTCCTTGGAGAAGCATCTGTTTAAGTCCTTTCTCCATGTTTTAAATTGGTTGTTTATCTTCCTGGAGTGGAGTCATGTGAGTTCTTTATATATTTTGGAGATCAAACCCTTGTCCAAGGTATCACTAGCAAATATATTTTCCCATATGGGTTGGTTCCTTTTTCATTTTAATGCTGTTTTCTTTAGCAATGCAGAAGCTTTTTATTTTGATGAGATCCCATTTGTTTATTCTTTCCTTTATGTCCCTTGTTCTAAAGGACATATCTGTGAAAATATTGCTGTGTGGAATATCTGAGATTTTCCTGCCTATGTTCTCTTCTTGGACTTCTATGGTGTCACAACTTACATGTAAGATATAAGTCTTTTATCCACCTTCAACTTATTTTTGTGTATGGTGTAAGTTGGTGATTAAGTTTCATTGTTTTGTTTGTTTGTTTGTTTGTTTGTTTGTTTTGCATGTAGGCTGTCCAGCTTTCCCAACATCATTTGATGAAGAGGCTATTTTTATTCCACTTTATGCTTCTTCCCCCTTTGTCAAATAGTAATTGACCATAGAGACTTGGGTTTATTTCTGGGCTCTATATTTTGTTCCATTAGCCTATGTGTCTGTTCTTATGCCAGTACCAGGCTATTTTGATTATAGTGGCCTTGTATTATAGTTTGATATCAGGTATTGTGATCCCTCCTACCTTGTTCTTCTTTCTCAAAATTGTTGCAGGTATTTGGGGTCATTTATGGTTCCATATATATGTGTGTATATGTGTATATATTTTACATTTTGTTTTTTTAAATTATTTTATTTCATTATTTTTAAAAGATTTTATTTATTTATTTTTAGAGAGGGAAGGGAAGGAGAAAGAGAGAGAGAGAAACATCAATGTGCAGTTGCTGGGGGTCATGGCCTGCAATCCAGGCATGTACCCTAACTGGGAATCAAACCTGCGACACTTTGGTTCACAGCCTGCGTTCAATCCACTGAGCTATGCCAGCCAGGGCTATCCATATGTATTTTTGAAATGTTTGTTCTGTACCTGTGAAATATTTCATTGGGATTAATCCTAATTCCAAAACTAGATAAAGACACCACATAGAAATAAAATTATGGGCCAGTATCGCTGATGAACATAAACACTAAAACCCTCAACAAAATATTGGCAAACCTCATCCAGCAATACATTAAAAAGATCATACAACATGATCAAGTGCAGTTCATCCCAGGGATGCAAGGATGGCACAATATTTGCAAATCAGTTAATGTAATAGAGCACATAAACAAAAGAAAAGACAAAAATCACATGATTATAGCAATAGATGCAGAAAAAGCATTTGATAAGGTGCAGCATCCATTTATGATAAAAACAATCAGCAAAGTGGGAATAGAAGGAGCATACCTCAACATAAGAAAGGTCATATATGAGAAACCAACAGCCAACATCATATTCAATGGGCAAAAACTGAAAGCTTTCTCACTAAGATCAGGAACAAGACAAAGATGTCCACTTTCACTACTTCTATTCAACATAGTATTAGAAGTCCTAGCCACAGTAATCATACAAGAAGAAGAAATAAAAGGCAGCCAAATTGGAAAGGAGGAAGCAAAACTGTCATTGTTTGCAGATAACATGATAGTGTACAGAGATTCATGATAGAACTGTTTAATGATGAAGAAGTTGGACTTGGAGTATATCAATTATTGTATATCTTAATTATGTTTTTCTCGATATTTTCTTCTAAAAAAAACATAATGAAAAAAATAGCCTTGGCATAAAGAGACTTCAATGATAGGGCATTTTATATTCATTAGCTAAAAAAAAATTGACATGGGCAGAATTATAACAAAGTTTCAGTGAGAAAGACTCTTCATGAACCCTTTTTTATGCCATGAATAACTTTTCCATTGACGGTTTAAGAAAATCTCACTCATATGCCAGGTTTGCTTGCCACAGTGCGGAAGTGGCTGCCAGACCATCTCTGAGGCCTGTGTTCCATGGAATTTTCATATATAGAACTACCACTTCTCTTTTTCATTTCCTTTTGACCTAGTTCTCACAGTAACTGGCACTTGATGGCATTTGGTGGGCCTAGTGACATGGAGAACTGTTGAAAATGATAAGACTGGCTAGACCAGAGATTAATGTGATTCCAAGTAGGAAAGAAGTAAACATCA